TGTCAATCAATTCTAACAATAACACATAGCAACATAAATTAGCTAGGTTCATGCGCTAAATAAGATCAAACAGAAGAAATAATCATGGAATTTAAACTTGCATAATATTAGAAAAATAGGTTCGAATAACCACATAGGGTTCCAACAAAATCCTAGATTAAAAGGTTTAGCTACTCATAATTCTTATGATAAACAAAATAGAATAAATAAAAGAAATAAGAAAAACTATGCTTGAGTCTTCGTTGATCTTCGTTCTTCGCGTTTTGTGGTGTAAAATTGCGTGCTTATGGTGTAGAGATTTGTTGTTTTTATAGGCTTTTCTGGATAAGGAAGTAGTGGAAACATAATAGTAATCAATTTCCGCTACTTTCCCCCATCAGGATTTGTTCGTCGATTTGTGCCATGTTGGAGTCCGAATTTTAGAATGTTGTGTAAATAAGAATTATAGCCCTTGAAATTAGCTTTCCAATGCCGCCAAAATAACCTAATTCGGAGTTCGTATGAGAGATGTATGCTCGAAATGGTGGACACTGTCAAAGCTGTGGCGAGATTCTTTCTTCCACTTTGATTTGTTTCCTTATTTGCAACTTTTTCCTTTCTTTTTGATCTTTTTTCCTTCATGGACACCTAATTTTCATTTTTCACCTATAAAACACAAAATCAATTAATTAAAGCACAAATATAATTAAATCTAAACAAAAGATCCACGTAAAGTAAACGTATTGAGTGTAATATCTACACTCAACAAGCATATATATAAGCCTACGCATTTTCAGGTTATTGGTAAATTAAATAAATACTTGTTTAGTAAAACAGGTTCATAAAATAAATTATGATTTAATTTTGAATTATTCAATTTAAAATAGAGAATGAATAGTATATTTCATGACTATTGGAGTCGAAGAGCTGAAACACATGGTTGATTTATCGATGTTTATCTCATGTCCTGACACCCTAGCATAGCGGTCTAGAATCATTTTCAGGATGGTAGAGTCCTCAGCCGTAGCTCGACAGAAAAGGAGAGTGCCGTCAGCGAAACAGAGATTCGAGATGGTGGGCGCCATAGGGGCTATCTGTACTCCGTGCAATTCAACAACCACCTCCACCCGGTGGACCATCGCTATAAGGGTCTCTGCACAACAAATAAAGAGATACACAGAAAGGGGGTCGCCTTGTCTCTACTTTGTGGATGAAAGTTGCGAAATCATTGGGTGTAGGCAATGTTATAGTATTTGTGACAATTATTGTCACGTACTCAACAATGCAAAATGATATAATATCACTACAAGAAAATTTGGTTTTAGCGACCCTAAGGTATGGTCGCTGAAAGTTAAAAAATGGTCGTTAAAATATATAGTGACCAAATAAAATTGGCCACGACAGGTTAGCTACTAAAAGTATCCAGTGACGACTTATTTAGTTGGTCCGTAAAAGCATATATTTTGTGACCATTTAATAATAGTCACTGAAGATGTAATCATCACCGACAAATTTCTACTCGTTAGTATGAAGATTTATGGTTGTTGTAGTATGAACATTGTCGTTATAGATACACATACATCGACCAAATATTTTGTGGTCGCTAAAGATGTAATCATCAACACATTTTCACTCGCTGATATGAAGATTTATTGTCGTTGTAGTGTTAACATCGTCACTATAAGTATACATACAATTACAATATGATTTTGGTTGTTAAAAGAATAGTCGCTATAGATACATATACAACGACCATTGGTTTTTGGTTGGTAAACAATAGTCGCAGTAGATACACATACAATGACCATACTATTTTGGTTGTTAAAAGAATAGTCGTTGTAAATACACATATAATGACCATATCATTTTGGTTGTTAAAAGAATAGTCGCTATAAATACACACATAATGACCATATCGATTTGGTTGTTAAAAGAATAGTTGATATAGATACATATACAACAACCATTTGTTTTTAGTTGGTAAACAATAGTAGCAGTAGATACACTTTCAATGACCATGTTATTTTGGTTGTTAAAATAATAGTCGTTGTAAATACACATATAATGACCATATGGTTTTGGTTGTTAAAATAATAGTCACTATAAATACACACATAATAACCATATCGTTTTGGTTGTTAAAAGGATCGTCTCTATAGATACACACACAATAACCATTGTTTTTTTGTGGTAAATAATAGTTGCAATAAATGTGTACATACAATGACCATTTATTTTTTGTGGTAAATGAATATATGATTACCAACCAATTAGATGGTTGTAAAAATCATTGCACGGTTGCAATAATTTTCATATTTAAGATGTTTCAATGACGAGAGAAACCAATCTAGCATCGCAAAATCTACCATATCCAGTGACCGTAAAATCATAACTAGTTGCGAAATCATATATATTAAAGACCAAGAAATGGTGACAAGATAATACAAATATTTTAAAAAAAAAAAAAATTTAACCAGTTACTAATTATTATAAAGTGTTAAATGACTATAAAAACATATACATTAACCTCATTTAGTAGCCAAGATAGTGAGGCACTTCACACAAAACATTACTCGTATAATGGAGGAAACAAACTACTCTTCATGATTGTCTCGAGAGCCGTCGATCGTAATTGTAATTGGCTCATTGGGATCTAAAGTCGGGCTTGCCTTGACGGGTAAATATGGTGAAAGAAATATAACCATCTACATGTTTTTTTAGACCAATGAGTAGCATTTGCAAACCTGACAACACAGAACAGTAACATCACTATAAGAAAATCTAGTGCATATATATATTCAAATTCAGGGAACAAAGTTAAAGCATATGCACACCACGTAATAAGGTCAACAAGTATAATAAACAAAATTTCACATTTTATAACAAATTATATATAATGTAATGGTAAAACAAAAATATTGGTATGATTCTCAATTACTTAATTTAGATAAGGCATACGGAATCAAAATAGCTAGCGTACATTGTTGGAACTTACTAGATACCACAAGACCCATTAGAATAAATGCATACATTAAAAATAATAAAGCCTACTCTCAAAATAAATGATGGCTATGTACATGTAAAACAAATTTTAATAGCATAGATATACAAAGGGTAAACATATGAACATTATCCTTGCAAATTCATCTATTTCCAAAATACAATAATATGTTTGTACTATAAATACAAACCGGGCATTTCACCTCAACCCTGTCTCGGACTCAACTAAATAGTCGAAGTATATGCTCAAAATTCAGTATATGGGTTAAACTATCTTCTTCACGATGACATCCCGACAAGCCACAAAGATCATACACACATGCACGCGCGCGCGCACACACACACACACACACACACACACACACACACACACATATATATATATATATATATATATATATATATATATATATATATATATATATATATATATATATATATATATATATATATATATATATATATAAATTATAGTACATCATATGAGACATAAGATTTATTTAGAACAATAAGAAAAATAATAACACACAGGTGCATGATATGCCGAGGCATGTTTGAAATTGGGTTCGATTTTACGACTTTAGTATGTGCGAGAAGAAAATAAAAATTCACTTAAAAAATAAATTACTTTACGATTCATGGTGGGCTGACTTTTAAACCACTGCAATACAAAAATAAAATAGAACTTACTAAAACCGCAATTCTTGTATAATTAGTTTTTACTAAACAATTACTAAAAAATTATACCAAAAAACGGTCCAAATTCAATCTAACCCAAAAATTGTCCACCTCATGCATATTTTCCAGCGGTAACATTAAGAAATACTCCATCATCCAACAACCACAATTATCATAATCATAAAATAATACAGCTGAAAATTCAAAAAAGAAATAGGGCAATAGCATGACAACTGTGGAGGATGAGACAAAATTGTTACACACAAGAAAAATCAGCGAAGGAGATACTTACAATGATCATATCCCAAAATAGGCTTATAAATTTTGTCCCAATACAACTCGTGACATTTTCGTATCTACCAAATGTGAAAATTTCAAGAATAAGGACTTGATAAATAATGAAACGAATTAAACTATAATCTATTAAAATTATTCATCATAAGACATGTTTAAGACTAACTTGAGTTATTACATCATCATTTTGACTAACTTAGCAAATGGCTATGAAATCTATTTACTTGAACAAGCAGAATGAAATGGCTATGAAGTTCATTTACTTAGAACATGAGTAACAAAAAAGTAAAGATCTTCAAACATGAAATTTGAACTGACTACCAATTAATGTTTTCACATTGCACCAATAAGAAAAAAATATATACACATAATTTATTTTCAACAAACAAAAGCATGTCCAATCAATAGAAGATGCACATTAATACATTGATCATTCATAGTACTAGACATGTACATGCAATTGAACAATAGTACAAGTACCAACTTTTTCGATTGAAAATAAATCTAATATTGAATACATACCAAGGACAATGAAATATGTTTTGTCATCTCTTACATCCTCATTCTGAGTTCCGCTTAGTTCAATCATTGACTCCCGTCATACACAAAAGGCAAATATGCCAAAAAACAATCAAGTAATATAAACTTAATGAAATATATAGTCATAGAATGCAACATAGTATAATATAACTGTAAATTACTCTCAAATTAGCATCTTTTTTGGGGATAAAAGAGTCAAATCACTTGAGAGAAAACAAATAATGCCAAAAAGAAAAACATAAAAACTATACATTTTCCGTCGGGTGAGTGACATTAATTCTTGGACAACAACATTTTCGTCATTTGTAATTATGCCTGCACTAGTCCACCGAGCATGTCTCTAAGATATGGAATAAAATCGAAGGCACCCATGTCTTGAAATCTTCTCATAACTACAAAGGGTAGGGGTGGTACAGTATAAGTATATCAAGAAATTTAATCAAAATGGATATATATAAATAATGATAGAGCAAAAGTTATTTGAAACTCTTTATACCTAAATATTTTTACTATTCCAAGTCGCTATCTATGATAGCGTGAGATGCAACTTCATCGTCGCTGCTCCAATATTCGGCTTGAGTCTCGTCTTCTCCATCATCATCGTCTTCTTCATCTTTATCATCATGAACACGTGGATGGATTATTTTTTCAAGAATTTCGATCCCAGTGGAGCTTCATCATTACGGTCAATCGATCCAATCTCTGGAGCACTATCTTGAACGTCAATAAGAGCACAATTTTCTTGTTGATATGCGTCATTCACGTCGGGTTCATTCCCATCGGTAAATCGAATGAATGATGGGTCAAATAGATGTCAATGTTGTACATGTTGAACAACTTTCCAATTCCCACCTAATTTTGTATCACTAGCATAGAACACCTGGGATACTTGATTTGCTAAAATATAAGGTTCGCTTTCATACCACAAATTACCACATTTACGCTTGTAAGATCGCTATCTATATTATAATTTGTTTCGGTCCAAATTAAACCACTTGCAACTGAATAGTACGCATCGGTAACCATAAGTATAGCTCAACTCGATCACATCTTCTAAAACACCATAAAATTTGATCATTTTACCTTTATGAAGAGAGTGTGTACAAACACCACTATTTTGTGTCACACGTCTAGAATCTCTTTTGCTTGTTAGATACTTGACACCTTCCACTATGCACCCACTACACTTATTAATACGATAATCAGGCCCACAGGCAAGTGCAATAAGTTCATCTGTAGCTTCAGGGGATTTAATGCTCCTCAACTTTTTAATCTAAGTTTACAAAATAATGCGAGTTAACTTGTGTTTAAAAAAAACTATTAATTAATGAATAAAATAAAATATAATTTGCAGATCTTACTCGATTATCAAACCATGTAGCAAACTCTTTCTTTTGTCTAGTCTCCCAACCAATTGGATGTTGTTGCTTTAGTTCTTCTTTATGCTCTCTGAATAATGTAAAAATAACCCATCAAATAATGTTAAAGTGCTATTATATTATTAAAATATTTTTTCTTACCTCACATATGAATCTAACTCCACGCAGTCATTCAAGACAAACCAATGCAAGGAACTATATTGTTGAGGGGTCAACTGTACAAACTCTGCTTCTCCAAAAGTTCGAATTTTACTTCGAAAAACAGATAATGTTGCATTTGGATGTTCCTCCCCATCATAATTTCTTTGATCTCTATTGTATTTAGTCTCAATGTCATGGAGATACAATGAACAAAAACTCAAACACTCTTTCACGATATAAGCCTCCGCAATTGAGCCTTCAGGACGAGCTCTATTTCGAACCATTCCTTTTAAGCTACCAAGATACCTATAGTAATATCAGAATACATATACATGAGACTCATGACACAAATGAAAAAAGATAAGCTATGCCACTTTAGCAAACTAAAGAAAAAGTAAAACATCTAAATTTGTTACATTTCAATAGGGTACATCCATCTATAGTGAACAGGTCCACCAATCTTTCCTTCTTGTGTCAAATGAATTGCTAGATGGACCATCACGTCAAAGAAAGCAGGTGGAAATATCATTTCTAACTTGCTTAATATTATAGGAATTATTTTTTCCAAATTGTCAAGGACATCAGAGCTTAATTTTCTAGAACATAATTGTCTGAAGAAACTTGTCAACTCGGTAATAGCATTAAGAACATCTTTTTGTACGTAACCACGCAATCCTACAGGAAGCAAACGTTGTAATAGAACATGACAATCATGACTTTTGAACCCAGTTATCTTACCATCTTTGATATTCACACATCTGGAGATATTCGAGGCGTACCCATCCGGAAATTTTACACCTTTCAAGAAATCACAAAATTTAGTTTTCTCTTTTCGAGATAAGGTATAAATTGCACGTGGCTTCAAACACTTCATCTTACCTTATTTATTTGTTTTGGTACCTTCTACTGGATTTAAATGTAACTCACTTCTTACACCCATGTCCTCCAAATCTAAACGAGCCTTCTCAGTATCTTTTGTTTTACCATCAACATCTAATATAGTTCCCATAATATTATCACATATATTATTCTCGATATGTATTACATCAAGGTTGTGCCGTAATTTTAGTATAGACCAATATGGCAACTCAAATAATATTTTTTTTTATCCAACATAAGTGTTGCGAACGGCGCTTTCATTTTTTATCCATGGACTGCTTGCCAAGCACAACGCTTTCTACTTATTCTAGTTGTATAAGAATTTCAGCATTGGTAAGCTCCACGGGTTTTGATCGGTGTTCTGTCTAACCATTAAATTTAAGACTTCTTCGATATGGATTATTATGTGGCAAATAACGTATGTGGTCGATATAACCAATCTTGCTTCTTAGCATTTCTGAAGGAGTGTCGGCACTACATCTTGGACAAGCACAATAACCCTTTGTTCGATGTCCATAAATATCACCATATGCAGGGAAATCGTTTATTGTCCATAAAATCGCAGCATGCAGAACAAATAACTCTCCAGTTTTAGCATCTCTTGTTCTTACTCCAGATTCCCACAATTCCTTCAGGTCATCTATCAATGGTCGCAAATATACATCAATATCTCTTCCAGGTGACTTAGGACCCGGAATCAACAGAGACATGATAAAGTATGGTTCTTTCATGCATAGCCAAGGTGGTAGGTTGTATGGAACCAAAATCATCGGCCATATACTATAAGAGTTATTCATATTACCAAAAGGATTAAATCCGTCAGTAGCTAGACCAAGGCGCACATTTCGGGGATCTTGAGCAAACCAGGGATATTGCTTATCTAAGTCCTTCCAAGCTTCAGAATCTGAAGGATGGATCATTTTACCTTCCTCGTCAATTTTTCCATCTTTATACCATCGCATATCAGAAGCTGTCTTTCTCGATAAATAAAGTCTTTGTGATCTTCGCTTTAGAAGAAAATAGCGCAAACTTTGTGAGGAATTTGTTTTCCTTTTCCATCATTTACTTTCCATCTAGATTCTTTGCATACTGGACAACTAATTAAGCTCTCGTTTTCTTTCCATAAGAGAATGCAATCATTTTTACATGCATGGATAAACTCGTAACCCAACCCAGTATCTTTCAATAATTTTCTTGACTCATAAAATGATGAAGGAATAATATCACCCTCTGGCAGATATTGTTTGAATAAATCAATAATTATGTCATAACATTTATTAATCATTCGGTTCAAAACTTTTATATGAAGTAGTCTGACGAGGAAATATAATAATGATTTGAAGCAACTAGGATATAACTTACGTCGTGTATCTTTCAACAATTTCTGAAAATTGCCCACTTCATCATCAGATACGAGCTGTTGGTGGACCAGCATGAGTATCATCACAATAATCGAATGGACCTTCTTCATCATCATCAAAATCATGCAACCCAAAATTCAAATCCTCTAACATCTCTTCCTCTTCAAATGTCTGATCCACGTTATCATGAACATTATGATCTTCCAAATTCTTATTGGACTTTTCACCGTGATGCACCCATTCATTATAAAAAATATCTATCCCATTAGTGAGTAAATGCAATTTGACCAAGTATGGTGGGTGCAAACTTTGATTTAAACGATCTCCACATGGACAAGGTATATTATTTCTCTCCCCAGCATGTTGTACAGCAAATTGCATGAAATTTTTAACTCCATTAACATATTCCTTTGAAGTGAAATCATTGAGCTTGATCCAACTCTTATCCATTAAAAACCTTTATATGGAAAGAGAAAAGAGTGATAAAAAATATTAGATTACGTAACAATTACATAATTAATTAAACCAATTAAACCAATCTACTATATTTTTTAATTATACTTGTATTCTGGTTATCATTATATACAAGTATCACAAATTCACAATGATGCTTCACTGGACATTCTCTCTCAAATAATGTCATCGTAGTGGAGCTTAAAAAAGAAAAAAAGAACAAATCGTAGAGAACTTAATTTCATGCAACACCTAATGTTAGGGGTGGAAATCGAACATATCAAAAATACCACTTTCTAAGAGTCCAATTTTTTCCGCAAGTGAAAAACCATTTACATATTTAATATGCAATTTCGGGAAGATAATAAACGGCTTTTGAGATCCTACACCGGGTGAAATACACCGGGTAGATCTTTACCATTAATATACACACAAACACACACACACCCACATTGGTGTGTGTAGATCAACGGTGAAAAACCACCCGGTGTAACCTTCACCGGGTGTAGGATAGATAAAACCATAATAAACCCATAACTTTTAGTAATATTTCCAGATATTTAAACCAAATCAGAATTCATAATATATGGAGAATTCAAAATACAATGTGTCTCAAATTTTGTTCCAAAAAATGTCCGGATGGAATAATCGGAAGTGGGATGACTTTTTTTTAAATATGAACTATTCGAATATAAATCGATGAAACTCGAAAATTACATTCCAATTTCCACCCCTAACTAATCAAATTGAAGCAAAAAATAAAACATGGTCAAAGAAAAAAAAAATTAAAAATTTACTCATCAAAGAATCATATTGGATTGGGTATCAATAACTATCTAATCCTGCTAACAAATTTGCATCGGCAAGTGTGCAACAAAAGAGACTCAATGTTATAATGTGTAATTCAAAATAGAGCAACAGAGACAACTCTCGGATGACTTGACTGGTTCTAAATTGTTATAGTACTCGAGCATCACACCAAAATTGATTTCTAAACAATGAATCATACAACCCAAAACAAGAACACCCTCAATTAAAAATAAAGAGCAAATAAATTTAGCAGAACTAGGGCTTATTGAAAAGTAAATTCATTAGGACAAATTTATATGTATTATGAGAAATTGATAACAAGAGATACCTTGATCCGAGAAAATACAAAGAAGGGCAACAAATTTAATAATAATAATAATAATAATAATAATAATAATAATAATAATAATAATAATAATAATAATAATAATAATAATAATAATAATAATAATAATAATAATAATAATAATAATAATAATAATAATAATAATAATAATAATAATAATAATAATAATAATAATAATAATAATAATAATAATAATAATAATAATAATAATAATAATAATAATAATAATAATAATAATAATAATATATACCCTGAGGTATGGTCAAATTACAAAAAAAACCCTCTCGTTTGGATAATTACATCTACCCTTCAACTATGATTTTTTTTCTTACACCTCCACCCTTATGGTGCCAAATTCAACATAATCATCTAGATTCCGTGGAATGTGCTCTAGTTTGTACTCGTTTTATGTAAAAATACAGTTTCCGATGCACCACAATCTGATATATACAAGCTAAAAAACACATAATATGATAATCTTGCTTCATAATGTAGAGTTCGAATGGGATAATACGGGTACAAAAGTGATAATATTACATATAATCTCGAAGATTCCACTAAATTTGAGGAGTTGACAGGCTGGTTGTAATTATCCAAACAAGAGGGGGGGTTTTGTAATTTGACCATACCTCGGGGGGTGTTTGTAATTTACCTATATATATATATATATATATATATATATATATATATATTTCCAAAAAACCTTGAATTTTCCGAATTAATTTTGGAAATCGGAAATTCCAAATATTTTCTTATATAATTTCATTTCCAATCCAAAAATTTTAAAAATCTGAAGTTTGAAAATCTGAATGAAATAATTATTTCAAAATTTTAAATTTTTTGCTTGGAATTCGGCGGAAATTAGAAATTTTACGAGACAAGAAGACATGCAACGTAATGATGTAACGGAGGCTGGTGCGAGAATTTTAAATATTTGGACATTCACCCTAGGCTGATGTCGATTTGACAATTTCAAAAACTATAGTCTTATAGGTTTTTTCAATTTTGTTTATTTCTTTTCTACTCCTTTGTGGGGACAGTTGTTTTCCATTTTGACAGTTGTTTTCCATTTTCATTGGTTCCGTATTAGGATGATTGTTTCTCGTTTTTCTATTTTAATTGAGTTGAACAATTACTCGTTTTTCTATTTTTATTGTTTTAAACGATTACTCAATTTTCTATTTTGATTGTGTTGGACGATTACTCGATTTTCTATTTTTATTGTGTCAAAAAATTACTTTGTTTTCTATTTTTTATTTTGAATATGTTGAAACCATAAAATAAAAAAATAAAAAAAAATAAAAATGTACTCGCGTAGTTTTACGCGAACAGAGAACATGTACTCGTGTAATTATACGCGAGTACAATTTTTAAATTTTTTTTTAATTTATTTTTTGTACGAGTTAATTTAAAAAAAATAATTAAAAAAATTGTGCTCGCGTGATTTAACACTAGCACCAACTCAGGTCTCGCGTATATTCACACGACCACTGAGAAGGTGCTCGCGTAAAATAACACGAACAAAAAAAAAAATCATCTCCTTCGTGTGATTTTGCGCGAAACACATGACATGTGGTCGCGCAAAATCACGCGACCACAAGAAAAAATTATATTCCAGGTACTTGTGTGAAATTCCGCGAGTACATGCCATGTGCTCGCGTATTATCCCCGGAGTACTTGGGATTCCGAGAAGGAACCATAATTATTACCTCTGGGTCTATATCCGTTGGATCCATTTCAGAATTTGTTGATTATCTATTTTTTTTTAAGTTGACTATTCAAATTCGATTTTTAAATAACTATAGGATTTGGTAAAAAAATGTAAAAACAAAGAAACTTAAAGTAAAAAAGTAAAAAGTTATCGTAAAAAAAATGTATGTACACCAAAATGGCGCCTGCGTATATAACCATCCTTATCTACATGAATTTGTAGAGATGCTATTATTAGAACCCTATAAATATAAATGTAAGTATAAATATAAATATACTGGTTTAAGTTATGATTAAATGTAAGTATAAATATAAATATACTAGTTTAAGTTATGATGCAATGAGTGCGCAAGGTTATTTTCAAAATCGGGTTATATTACAAACAACCCCATTGAAATTTTACTTATTGATAAATCATTTATTTGTAAATGATATTTGATATAGATTCAATGGGCTTGAAACATCATAAATGCCCCATCTAATTATTAGTTGGTATAATTATTCAATTTAAGAAAAATTATACCCATAATCTACACTCAAATCTTTTCCAAAAAGTATTCCCCTCACGCCAATTCAGTTTTTTTCCTTTTATTTTTTTTATTTTGTTTAATATTTTTCTTTATTTCGAATTAAAAGAAAATTTTTGTAATTATTTTATTTTTATTTTTTTTTCGGTTTTTAGTTTAAATTATTTTTTTTCTTATTTATATTTTTCTTTTTTTATTTTAATTTAAAAAATGGTTTTATTTTTATTTTCATTTTTTCATGCTTTTTTCTTTTTTCTTAATTTCGAATTTTTTTTTTAAAAAAAAATTATTTTATTTCCAGTTTTTTTTAAATAAAAACCACTATATATAAACATGAAAATCACTTTATATAAGCAACTATATAACACATGAAAACTACTATGTATAACAACTATATAACATCAAAATCACTCCGTATAACAACTATGTAAACTTGAAAACCACTCTATATAACAACTATGTCAACATAAAACCACTTTGTATAAACAGTTATATAAACACGAAAACCACTCTCTATAACAACTACGTCACACATGAAAACTACTATGTATAATAACTATGTAAACATGAGAACCACTCCGTATAATTACAAATTTCCACGACCAACAATCATTAAAATTAAATAAATAAAAAAATTTGAATAAAAACACAAACATATATTATATCTCTGCAATTATATTGGATTTTTTGAAGCTCCCAACAGAGAAAAGTGAGAGAAAAAATATGTAGAGAGAGAAAATGAGAGGTCATTATCAATAGGTAAACAAACAGTAACACCCCTAAAAAAAATTAAAGGGTTCTTCTTTATTTGCTTGTTTTTGTGTTTTCCATGGTGGGTTGGTGTAATTAGGGGTATCATTAAAAATTTAAAATAAAATTGGGTTCATTGTAATAATACTTGTGTAATGAAGGGGTTTTTGTCAAATTATCCCTTCAAAATCCTCAACCAAAACAGCGTCGTTCTTCATTGTCCATCCATGCCTACAATTATTGGCCGCCTTCTTTTGATTCACGGTGTTCTAATAGTACTGCATTTATTACTTTATCTAACAATCAATTAAAAAAAAAATTATAGCTTAAAGCCATATATTTACAATATTATTCTTTTTTTTTGTTCCAAGTCTCTCCCAAATTTGTATTAGTTGAATTTAAACATAAGTTTGTTCTATGATTTTATTTGGTCCCTATGTGGCATAAATTACTAATATTTTCGTTCATAAACAGGGATAAATATTTTACAACCCATTTATCATTTTAAATATTTGTTTTTTTTAATTGAATTCTTCTAAAGAAAAGAACGCAATAATGCTTTTATTGGTGTGTTCCGCAATTTGGAATCAAGGTGCTGAGCTTTACATGATATGGTTTCCCCATGTATTTCTTTTTTCTATTTTTTAAGTTGGAAGAATTAAAGAATATAATTTTTCTCTGATTTGCCAATCAAATTTGTTCGGTGGAAAAGAGACGCTTGCGATGAAATTGTATTACTCCCTCCGTATTTTTATGTATACTAGCCAATTTTATTTCCGCATATTAAGTATCACTTTAGAATTTTAATGTATGACAATTGTTTTCTTCTCCAGCTTTACCCTAGTATTAATTACAGATTAATGAAGTAATAAAGAGAAGTTCGAAAATACAGTTTTTTCTTCTACAATTAAGGCTATTTAACAACTTTCTTAATTATTGTGCATTAATCTTAAACGACACTTAAAAAGAAATGGAGGGAGTACTTACTGTATAAGGGATTTCAACTTTTCGCCTCGTCTACTTCATTTCATCTAGTAGAGGATGATGTTGGTTGAACATTAGTCAACGTAATTGGTGTCAAAGGAGGCGACGCGATATCTTCCGCCATCTTCATATTCTGAGAACCTTCTAGAGGAACACGTAACCCTACTTCCATCAGACCACCGCCAGCTGGAATCGAATAGCTTCGTGGCAGACCCTGAGGTGGCGCTGGGAGTGCCGATGTCGTCGTACTCATAGTCGATGTTGATACAGATGCAGTTGACATTTCATTTCTTTTCGATATTAAAGGACCCGAATGAGAGGGTCTTCTAGAAGCTATTAGATGAGCTGGCGGGCGAGGCAGCTCGTGCAGTTCGCTTATTTTAGGCGACGACACGAAAGTAGGCGAAAGGCGCGAAGACAGCTTCGGAGTTGATGTTGGACGTGGTAGTGGGGTCCGCAGTAGGGACCCGGAGAACGGAGGTGGGAATGGTGACGTGGCGATGGGCCCACTGGCTGTGAGATTCGGATTGCTCGACCATGGCTTTGCTGATAATGGGCCGGAGAAAGCTTGGCGTTTGGCTTTCTTGGCATAGGATGCGACGTTTGGATCGAGCTGTTTGAACGTAAGGCCTTCTGAAAACGGAGGGGGCAAAGGGGTGGCTTTTGTGGTGGGGTTGTTGCTCTCTTTAAGTAGTGATTGTGTGTCTAGGATGATTGGTCCGGATAATTTGTCGCTCGTCTGATGGAATTTCTCGTACTTGTTCTGATCTAAGGGGGACGAGTGCCGAAGGTTTAGGACAGGTTGCTGCCTTGTTTGAGGAACTTCGTTAAATAACTTTCCGGAACTCGGGATCTTTGTCTCGTCTGGTGTAGGTAAGACGTAGGAAGTGAACTTGCGTGACGGTGAAGGCCCGATCGGTGTCATTCGCTCGGTTGAATCGGTTCTTTTCTCGGGAAAAAGAGGCGCTGATTTGCTGATTACTCTGGCCCCTTTTTGGAATGAAAAGGAATTTCGAGCAGGACTTTGTAAATTTTCCTGCAAAACCATTTAAAATTCAGCAATTTATTCCCATAACTATCTAATCATGTTTCAACTTCTTCCTAAAATAATTCTTATCCAAGACACAAGTTCAAAGAGGAGAGTAAAAGGGAGAGCAGAAGCTGGAGAACCAAATTTAAACCAAGAACCCGAAAGCAGCATGTATAAAAACTTAGGGCAAATTACGGCCACCCCTGAGTTATGGTCAAATTACGAAAACCCCCCTCCTGTTTGGGTAATTACAGCCACCCCTCAACTATGTATTATCTTACAAAAAGACCCCTCCAGAGGTAATTTAGGGATGTTATTTCGGTAAAACCGAACCGAAAGTTCGGTACGCCAACATTTCATACCGTTTACCGAACTGAATATACGTTTTGGTTCGGTAAATAACCGAATTACATAAATTTTATGTAAAAATATTTAAAAGGAGGGGGGTTGTTGTAATTACCCAAACAAGAGAAAGAACTATTGACAACAACACAGGAGACGAAGCTTACCAGCTTTAGTTCAGGGGAGAATGTCGCATCGGTATTGTCCAACTGTAGAAAATAAACATATTCGTCTGAGTAACCATGCATGGATACATTAGCTCAAAAAATATTTAAATTTAAATAGATTCAAGTGAGCAAGTCAAACAAAAGGGATGACATAAGTATCAACTTAAAGATTCCAGTTGAGTATCAACACATGCTAAATTTGTACCTCCATCGAGTTCTTTATTGTAGAGACTTCTTCCACTGGACCATTTTGCCCATAGTCGAAACTTAATTCTCCTTCTTCAGGTGTTCCGAAACTATCTTCAGTATCATCATCCTCGTCATCATCATCATCATAACTTTCGTCATCTTCATCATAATTTTCGCCCATATCATGTAATCCACTAAACTGGTAATCAATATGATGTTGTTCAGCAAGTAATCTGACATGCGGCTCAATTGCCTCTAACGATCCAACTGCCTTCTTGAAGAAGTACAACTGTTTAAAATTAAAGCTCCACCTCATCAATGAAGATATAACAAGAAATGACATAATCACGTATTTAATGTTTTGCAGAAAATAAAAAAAATAAAAAAAATAAACCTGTGCAGCATGGTGTCGAGATGCCTGTGTTAGAAAACTACGGGATTGTCCTTGTTTTAGAGATTTCATGCGGAAGACGAATACGTTTGCCTCCTCGTCATATTCATCGTGGGCTTCTTTCAGCGGAGGTCCAGGAAAACATTCGCCTTTACTGTTTCTTAACCTCACTTTTTCTTTCTGTTTCTTCATCAGTTCTTCAAATATTTCTCTGGAAGTTATTTAAAATGACAATTTGTTAAATGGTATGATGTAAGAGAAAAACACTAAACGAGAGTAACAGTTTCGTAATTGGAGGGTTTAAAACAATCTTAGACCTTTTTCCATCACACCGCTTCTTCATCTCCTGCACGAGGTAAAAAGCTATAAGCATATATTGCGGACAAAGAAACAAGAGGTAGAGATTTTCTCTGGATTATTTTTCTTCGTGTAATGTCAATATGTTCAAAGGGAGCGGCTAAAACAAATACCGTTTTTTTCTCACTTCAATACCACCAACATAAAAAATAAAAAATAAATAGATAATAAATAGGTAATGACATTATTACCCTTAATAAAATCAATACCCCACACAAAATTTGTGTGTGGAATTGATTTTATTAAAGGTATTAATGTTATTACGTATTTTTATATATTTTTTATGTTGGTGGTATTGAAGTGAGAAAAAAACGATATTTGTTTTAGCCGTCCCCATGTTCAAAACACGAGCAATGCAGTTACCCTGGGCTATTCCAAAGAAATTTCTGAAAAAAAAAAAACACACACACACACACAGTATAATCTGTGAGAGCTGACCTCTACTATTCGAAGTTCATTCAGAAGAGACTCGGATGGGATTGTTATTGTCTGGAATATATGAGAGCGCTGAAATACAAGATAAATAGTTCAGAGAAAGAACTTAAGGCATGAAATAGAAATTAACACATACAAATCAGTTAACACTCACGTAACCATCAACAAGTTTTTGAAGTTCAAACTGTACTTTGCCCAGCATTAATAAAACCTTCCCTGCGAATAAAAGCTATTAGTTCTTTCGAAAGAGGAAAAGTATGCTTATAATTAAGTCCAAAGCAAATAGCCAGACATTATAAACAGAAATCAATGAAAGAGAAAATTAAAAGCGTATGCTAATAAGTGTACTATTGTGCTTTTTTTATTTTTTTGTTTGTCGGGACCGTTTGCCATGTAAATTGTTGGGAAATAAGAGGCTTACGTATCAATATGAGAATACATACGTAAGAACTTTTGAAGCATGGGCGAAAACTTAAATCGTGTGCATGGCGAGAATAAATGCAACGTTTTCTCAAGAAAATATTTAGAAGTTCACAAGAAAGAAATGGTAAGGCAGATGATGTTATTAATGTCTAAGAGATTGTAATCATATTCACTACAGCAGAGCTGAAGTGGGAAAAAAAATATAAAAATAAAATAATAATAAAATGAGTGATAAAGGTCCTCAACTTTTGTCCGAAAAGACAAATCATGATGCGCTGGATTAACGGCTGCCGCATACAAATGCAAAAAATCGATACAAATCTCAAATAATCATACATTTAAACAATTGTCGAAAACCATCTACCGTTTCTTCCAATGAATAACATGTGTATATGCATGGGAGAGATTTTGCTTACCACTTTCTTCATCGTCATTCAGGGCTGTTTTTTCAAGAAGACAATCACCCATTTCCCTTAACGACTCTGAAAATTCTGAAAAATGGAGGCTTGATTAGAAGTAGATTCATGAAATAAAGCAAATTAATATTAAAATAATTAGTATATATTGATCTGAGGACACAAGATTATATAAATATAACCATCCCCATGCAAAATATACTCACGTACAGCTGTCATAACAAAAACAGCTAAATTCTGGAATCAATAACACATTTATTCCTGTAAGTATCCAATATATACTTTAATCAATTAATGAATATCTTGGAATTATCAAATACACTAAAAACAGTAACACAACCCACAAGCCTAGCTAGGAATTCATACCCCATTCCTGTCAATTTTAATCAAATTCCTTTTCAATAATTTAAAATTCCCACTATTTCGTATATATATATATATATATATATATATATATATATATATATATATATTAAATTGCGTCCTAAGACCCAATGAGATGTAATCTTCCATTGATTCAATGAGAACAGCAAAAAAAAGGACATGTTAAACAAAGACTTCTCAAAGGCTGAGCACAAGAATCAAAGAACATTCATATATATTTCCCAAAACTAGAAACTGCATTGGGGAAAACGTGGAAGAATAATTGTTTTACAAAGTGTCCCCGAAAAATTAAAATTGATTATATAACGAAGGGGTTGCATAAATAAGAATAATAAAATACAATTTTTTTTAGAAGAATAGCATATGCCCTCGACCAACGTGACTTCTTAAGAAGCTTGAAGGTTGAAGCGCATTTAAGAAATGGTGACATGTTTGAAAAACATTGCTAGATGGTCTTGAAATGCAGAACCATTTATGTTTTGTTTTCTCCAGTTACATGCATCCCAGTTTTCAAAGTCAATTTTTTTCCATAATGTTTGGCATATATGAAAGCCTTCACAATGATGTTCTTTTTCTGTATTTGATTTTGTTAGACCCTATCGGCACATTTGTTTCTTGATGTGCTTTCAGAACATGAGACACGATAATCAAGAGACTGTCAAATTAGACATTTTCACCATAAAACAAATAGGCCTGTCTCCAAGTTATCAATTTACATAAACAGTAACTCCGACTTCAGAGAAGCATAAAACTTAAATATAACTCTATTTAATGAATTTCAAAGAATATTCTCTTGTCCCTATACAGGAAGTTTTTAAAGCCTTTCAAAGTCTAAAATTTATCAGATATGCAGGTAGTGTCAATTTGAGCAATTTAATTTTCAAATTTATGCTCTAAAAACTGATGCATGCTTTCTTTTATCTTGGTCTGCGTAAAATTTAACTAAGAAATGAACTCCGAAAGAGAACTCTAAAAGTGCTTTTCATATGCCTAGTGGCTAAGAGACAATAAAATGCAAACGAAACTTACCGGCCACTACTCAATATATACTAGTGAATAACTCAATATCAACACAAATCAAAGCAAAAACAAGTCAGAAACTGAAGATTTCAATGTCGTTATCAAGATATATTCAATTTTAAAATTGAAACTTCATTAGTAATGCCAACTTATTGCATAATTTCACATAAGGAGAAAGTGAAAGATATAAAGATTTCTCGGTATAAGCTAGATACCATATACACTGTTCGCAGTCGCGGCTGCAGCAGAAAGTAACCTATCGTAGCAATCTCTCATGTCATTCATATCCTGATTGACACAAAAAAAAAAAAAAAAAAAAAAAACATATATATATCAGAAAAACTAAAGCATAGAAAGTGAAATCAATAAAGTTCTGGCAAATAATTACATACTATAAAATTCTACGAAGTACAGGTGTTAACCATCAATGGCAAATGTCGACTTTATTTATTACAACTCAAAATACTGAATGTAAATGTTTCCTTCCCTCTTCTTTTTCCTTCTAAAAGTACAAAATTTCAAAAACCGAATTCATATTTATACTTTCTTTACTTTTTCTATTCAACATTTTTTCGATTCTCCGATTGAATAATTGTGAACCATAAAGTTCATTACCTTAAGATGGCAAGGCACCAAACAAACCACTTCAAGTACAAACAAAAAAACTGCAAGTCTACCAATCCAATTTAAACACCATATAAAATATTAATCACAACATCTATACATACTTCATGAGAGATAATTGACCAGCCAAAGCTACATATACACCTTGTTCGAGGAAAAATTTCAATCACAAACAAAAAATTCTCCATTCCTAAGTTCTGCAAATAAATTAGCTAACTATACCCTAAATTTCCCACTAAAAAATAAATTAATAAACAAAAAAAAATGGCGAAATTCTTAAAATCAATAATTCACAGAAATATACCTGTGTGGCTCGAGCGAGTTCATCTTGAGCCAGAGATTGGTGCAGCTTCTCCGCTCTTCTATCGTGCCTATGCGCGGCAAATTTCTGCAATTTCTTCAGCGATGTCTTCATCTTTTTTTTTCTCTCTCTAAATAATACACCAATCGAAATATCTATCGACGCATCACATCTTAATTTGGAAAGGAAAAAATTGAAAGGTGTGAGAGTAGAATTGATGAGTGATAATGAAACCCTAGATCAAATTGACTGTTACAAATGAGAATGAAGAATGTGGAATTCAATTTTCCACGGAAACTGAAGTAGGTCGCCATTGTTTATTTTCCTTGCGTCAAATATGGATGGCCCGCGCCTCGTTGCGGGTTGAAATTATAAGGTCCATACCCGCCCCGTTTTGTACCCACGGGTACCCCACCCGTTTAACAACCCATTTCTTTTATTTTTTCTAGGAGTGGAAATTGGACGCAATGGATGGGAAATAACTTTTTTGGAAAATTTTCAATTTTTTCATAAGTAAAATGTGGGTTCCAATTTCTGTTTCAAAAAATTCGGAATGCAAAAATTCATTCCGATTTCGGAATGCCTCGAAATTGGCGGAATTTCGGAAATTATATTATTTTATAATATTTTGTTCCAGATTCGGATATAATGGAAACTTTCACAATATTTTTCTATCTTTTTAAAAATTTGCATGAAAATGTAAGAAAATCTAAACGATAATTCGACAAAACGCAATAATTAAAAACATATGTCGAAACAACAAATTGAAACATCGATTTTCTTATAAGGAAAAAAATGCAACATAAAGTTTCTGATACCGATTTATCTTTTCTACAGCTTTAATTTACTTGAGCATTCGATATTTATATTTTTCATATAAAATATAACATAAGTTATATAATCAAATTACAAATTATATCATAAAATTATGTTATATATTTCAAAAAAGCATAGAAATATTCTTTAAAATCGGATCGGAAATCGGAATGTCTGGTAATTTTATATACCATTCCAATTTCGTTCCAAATAAATTTGAAAGAATCGGAAATAGAAACTTTGAAAATCGAAATGAAAAATACAGTTCCAAATTCGGATATTTTCGAATCAGATTGGCGGAATTTGAAAATTCCATTCCGATTTTCACCCCTAATATTTTCTCATGCATTGGGTTTTTCATTTACTATTTATCTTAAGGGAATTTAAATGAATTTGAAAATGAAGCCCCTAAGATATTTTTTCAAGTTCATCGAAATTGCAAGAACAACCTTTTACTATTCTTAGTATCTTACTCAAGAAGCTTACAAACCCACAACTACTTTATAAATTGAACTTGAGACTTCAAGTGTTTTCTCATCTTTCTTACTACACATCTTAAAGATGAAAGATCAAAATCTCTTTATTTTTTTCTTTTTCGTCTCCATTCCTGAAATTCTTAGCATAGCGAGGCCCAGCGGCGGTACTTCATAGGGGCAGGGGGGGCAGTTGACCCCCCAAGAAAAAAAATAAAAAAAAAATTTTGCTGTTTTGGCATAATAATTTTTTAATATTACTTTTGGCCCCCCCAAAGGTTTTGTAAATATGTATCTTAACCCTTAATTTTTTTTGTTTATTCTCCACAATTTTATATAAATTATAGATATATATTATATTTAATATAAAAATATAAAATAAAATGGTTAAAACTTGTACTATTTTAAATAAAATTTATGAATATTTACTTATCGATCTTTAATTTTTTATATCAATGTCTCTAAAAAATAATACGAGACGTGCCATAAATCCCATTAAGTGCAATATATTATTAGAATAATTTAGATTTTTTTGTCATACTTGAAATATGATAAAATTATATATATATATATATATATATATATATATATATATATATATATATATATATATATATATATATATATATATATTATTTTAATTAAAAATTCGCAGTATAAACCTATTTTTTTAATGTCTTGTGAACCTAAAATTTTTTCCGAACCCCGAAATTTTAGTTAGCCCCCCCTACTTTCTAATCCTGGTTCCGCCCCTGGCGAGGCCCAAATATTACTGTGTTCACGGAACACATCAAAAAAAAGGAAAAAAATCGATGACACGTTAAAATATATTTTTTGTTGAGGTATTAGGTGGAACATACTTGGTAGATGGTGAACATGTATGAGAAACGTTGGATGTTGTTGTGGCGAAAAAAACAAATTCATATATGGATTGGGTTTTCGGGATGGGGGCCAAGGGGGGAGAGAGGAAGGATGCTGGGAAGAAAGGATAGAAGTGGAGGAGACAGAGCATTTTTGTCAGCCAAAAAATGAGGGGAAAAAGAAGCAAAAAACAAGGGAAAAGTAGAAGTGCAGATGGTACGGATAAATTTGAAGTGAATAGACATGTATACCATCAAAAAACTCACATGCGACGCACATGCAGACGATCCCGGCGAGAAATGAACGGCATTGGCAAAATTAAGGCACCGTGCAACAATTTAACGAGTCCAGGTAAAAATTTGCCCAATTTGTAGTTCAAGGGTACGGTACAAAAACGGGCAATAGTTTGAGCGGCAAACTGTCGTTAACCCATAGATAAATGGTAGACCTAAGAACTTCCGTTAACTTAATTATCACTTATTGTTAGAAATTTACAGCTCAGTTTCTCTTATATTACAAACTATGAGAGTTTCTTGCTACATATACTCAACACCACATAGTGAGAAAATTGTTCATTAATACAACGCCCTAAAAATAGCCAAAGGTTGTCTTAACGAGTTGCGGATAACGGAACACTTCTGTAGCATGCCCTCTTAGCTGCTCGAACAATATCATCAACCTGTCACACCAATTATAATTCCATGACAGTCGGAAAAAAAAAAAAAACACAACAACAACCAAGCCAAGATCAAGAAATCAATCATTTAATTTAGAGAAAATATAAAGCTCCAAGACGCACAATTATGAACGGCGCGAACACAAATTGAAATTAAAAATGAAAAAAAGAACAAAAAGACTATTATGTATAGCAAAAGAAAACCTGAGGAAGAGCAATTATTTCAAGGTTAGCAGCATAAGGCATGGGAACATCTGCTCCTGCTATTCTCTCCACCGGTGCATCAAGGTATCCGAAACTATCCGAAACTACTGATGCACTGAACAATAAAAAAAAAAAAAAAAAACACGCACCGGTCAAAATACATACATATGTGTATATATGTATATATATATGTTCTAATTAAATAAAACTTTTGAGAATATATGTAAACCATCGAGTAATGGGAGAATTAAGAGCTAACCAAATTTCAGCACCAACACCATGTTGAGGAAACCCTTCTTCAACAGTAACAAGCCTGTTTGTTTTTCTGACTGAAGCATTAACCGTTGATCTGTCCAGTGGCCTTATCGACCGTAGATTTATCACCTGCACAAAAACTCGACCATGAAAAACTTATAATTATATTCAAAATAATTCAATCATCGGCTAACATATATATACCTCAGCATCTATCCCATCCTTTGCAAGTATCTCAGCAGCCTGGATAAGAAACTGAGAAAATGAGATCATCTCGCAAAAAAATGATCTATGTATTTGAATCTATACATTCATTATAAACCGAGTAAAAGCGGGGCGAACCTTGAGAGAAAATCCCACCATCCTCGAAAAAGACACAATCGAAACATCGTTTCCTTCTTTTTCAATCTATACTATGAACAATTGAACGGTGTGGATAAATAAATTAAATCGAATATTCTCTAATTTATGATCCGCAAATGGAAAAGAAGAAAAAAAACGAGTGCAACCGCGTTACCTTGGCTTTTCCAATAGGGATGGTAAAATCCGAATCAAGAACTTGCTTAGAAACAGGGAAAGATTCGCCATACCTGATGAGTGTACACAATATTATAAAGCGCTTAATTGAAATTAAGTGGTAATTACTAATGACTTAAAAAATGATAAAATAATTAATTACGAAATGGTAATACATACACTCACAATAACTCATTTTCAAGGAAGACGACAGGGTCAGGGTCCCTGATAGCGGCCTTAAGAAGTCCACGAGCATCTTCGGATGAATACGGCGACACCACTTTTAAGCCCGGGATTGCACCATACCACGATGCATAGCACTTTGCATTGAAATAAATAAATTACATTTTGACGCAAAATCAATTTTGTAAATTAAAGCGAAATATCACGAGTTTTTATTTTATTGTTTTGAACACCTGAGAATGCTGAGCACCGACGCCGGCAGCTGGCCCATTCGGTCCTCTAAAAACGATTGGTACGTTTATATTACCAGATGACATGTAATTTGTTTTTGCAGCGGAGTTAATTATATGATCAACTCCCTGCATTCAAATATCATGGCGTTTAATCAGATAAATTCAAAAGAAATTCCTTCAAAATTCGAAAAACAGAATTTATTAATTATATTACCGAACTAAAAGATGGATGCATGCAAGAATGATTTACCTGCATTGCGAAATTAAAAGTCATAAATTCAATCACGGGTTTGAGTCCATAGTAAGCTGCACCAACTCCAAGCCCCGTGAAGCCAGCCTATATATGAAACGAGAAAATTGTTTAAAGTACGTGTAGAGAGAGAAATTTTGCGGAAATTAATTTCTAAAACAATATGGTAGCTAGTAATTACTCCATCTGTTTCAAAATAAGTGTTGTTTAAGGTTAATGCACACTATCAACGAAGAAAGTTCATAAATACTCTTGATTTTAGGAAAAATAGTTCATATTTGACAAAATTAACCCTGACTTTAAATCTCTCTTTATTAGTTCATTAATCTTTCATTAATTGTAGGTAACGTTAAACAAAAAAATATTGTCCTATCTTGAAATTTTAAAGTGACACTTAATATGAAAAATAAAATTATGGCTACAAAAAGAAACGGAGAGAGTATATTCTTAAATCCGAACAACAAACTCAAAATTATTAGCTCAACAAAACAGAAATATGAAATTATATTTCGTACCTCTGTAATTGGAGTATCAACAACTCTTTCGGGACCATACTTTTGCAACAGTCCTTTCGTAACCTATAACGAAATACATAAATACACAAACACAGAGAGAGAGAGAGAGAGAGAGAGAGAGAGAGAGAGAGAGAGAGAGACCTTGTATGCACCTTGATATTCCCCAACCTGGGAATTCAAAAAAAGAGAATAACGAGTACAAAATTAAAATGAGAAATATTAATGAAGAACAATATATAACACATATGTATATATTAATGAAGAACAATACCTCTTCGCCCATCAAGAAAACAGTTGGATCAGCAGACATTTCTTCATCAAGTGCAGAATTCAAAGCCTCTCTTACCATCATCTGCATTTATTTTTACTTTTAACTTTCATTTTCTCGCCTACATGCTACTCTTTCTTTCTGTTCCATAATAACTGTATTTTTTAAAAATATTTTTAAATTTCCAATGCTGAATTAAATGTATATCTTTTTACTGTTTTAACCTTATTAATTCAACTCTAAATATTAACTCTTTTATCTCATGATTAAATAATGATAACCAAGGTTATTTTAATCCTTTAATGTGTTTTTCCTAACTAAAAATACATTTATTGAGTTCTTAATACATGCCAGAGTTGAAAAACCACATTTCTAATTAGGAATGGGAGGAGTATTTCATTATTTTCAACCACAATAATTATATAGGACACTAAAAATAAAATAACCAAATTAATATATTACTATTATTTTAGGCCTTCTAATATACTCTCTTTGTCCCATATTATTTGTCTCCTTCAAGAGTTTTTTTCACTTTACAGTTCCAATAAAACATTAATTACATTTCTTAATTAATAAAGAGTAAAATAATTAATCACAAGAATATTTTAGTGATTTATTATGTTTTTTTATTACAACTTGTGCACATTTATTGATTTTCTTAATATATATACGCAACAATAGAAAACAACCTGTGCACATTTATTGATTTTCTTAATATATATACGCAAACAACAGAAAACGACATATAAAATGGAATGGAGGGAGTAATTAGACATTAAAAGAAAGTACTTGCTTCACTGAAACAGAGTAACTTCTGGATGCCAAAGCTGGATTCCTCATAAACTGAAAATAAACATCATTATTAATTAATTAATCTCTTATACATTAATTACATGTTCACCTTTCAGCAATTAATAATTAATAAGAATTACAAAAGGATAAAAAAGGAAAAATATATGTGTTGGAAATATACCGGGATAGCACCAACTGCTCGTCTTAGATTCTTCAACATCTTTCCTTCTTCTTCTTCAACTTTAATTAAACATCAACTCTCTCTGTTGTACTAAAAAAATAAAATAAAATTTTAATACATTATATATAAACATATATAAGACAAAAAAAATACATGCATACAAAATGAATATTCATATAATTTAAATTAAATATTGCCAAGACTATCACGATCAAAACAATTACCAGATAATCACAGTACGTAGTGAGCGTATAGTAGGAAAAAAAACCTTTGTTAAGAATATTTAATTTACATTTTTGAGTACTGCTTTCGGGAGATGAGCTGATGACGTAAGATTAGGACACGTGTATGCGCCAGAATTAAGACACACGTTTATGTAATGTAGTAAAGCAAATCCTCTTTGGTGCAACGTGTTAGAAAGTTGATGAAGAAAATCCATAATTAGGGAAATGAATATGTATACGGGAGCGCCTAAAATAAGGGCCATATCTATTTCCAATCTCAAAATTTTGCAAGACCTTGCTTAATGGAAAAGCAAAATATAGATAAATTTACTAAGAGTAAGACCGAAAATTATAAATATAATCTCAATATTAATTTTGATATTATTAATTCAAAAAAGACCTAATTGCTATTATAAGACCAAAACAAAATTTAAAAAAGATATATGAAAAATTGATCATTCTTCTTCACCAATAAAACCCAACCTCTTCTTCACACTCATTCGACACATATTCTCCAAAAAAATCTCTTTCATATTCTCCAAAAATCCTCATCAAATAAAAACCCTCAAATCTTACTAACACTTGCAAATGAGGACATTATGGACACACACACTGGCGGAACATGTAAGGGGCATGGGGGGGCCGTTGACCCCCCAAGAATTTTTTTTTTTTTTAGATATTTGGTACTAATTTTTTTGAATATTACTTTTGACCCCCAAAGTTTTTGTAAATATTTATCTTGACCCATTATTTTTTTTGTTTTTTCTCCAAAATCTTATATAAATTATAGATGAATAATCATATTTAATATAAAATATAAAATAAGATGGTTAAAACTTGTATTATTTTAAATAAAATTTATGAATATTACTTATTTTTGAATTTTTTTTTATCTAACGCCTTAAAAATAAAAGATGAGATCGTGCCATGAATCTCCGAAATATTAAGTGCAGCTATTATTAGAATAATTTGAATTAATCCTGGTTCCGCCCCTGGACACACAAGACATCAATATGGATGATTCTAAGGTCGAAGAACACAATGAGATAAGAAAATGTTGTACTTTTTTAAGCTTTGTGATCGTTTTTCTTGTTTTTCAAAAATAATTTCATGTACACAAAAATTCGACGTTTACATGTCGATATTTAGCTACAAAAACGACAATATAGAATCGAATTTTTCAGTTTCTGAAAAAATCGACGCCAATATTTCTTTTTAATTGCTAAAAATCGACACATTGATGTCGAATTTTGAACAAAATATCGACACACAGATGTCGAAAAAAGTGCAAAAATAATCGACAACAACTTATTGTCGAAATTTAGTGAAAATTTTGACACCAGTGTGTCGAAATTTTACAAGGTTGTGGTCGACTTTATCGGCGACGGCGCAGCGGCGAATGTGCAAGTGGTCCTCTTCTTTCTTCCCTCCCGTTTTTCAATTGTGTTTTCATTTTCTTTTTAATTTGGTCTTGCAAGAGTAATTGATAGAATTAAGTTTTATTTTGTTTATATTTTACTAAGGTCATTATAGTCTTTTTACACTTAATTTGGTATAAAATTTAATATGGTTTTGCCCTAAGTAAATTTTGCGATTGCATATAGTCACCGCGTAAAATAAATACTGTTTTTTTCTCACTTCAATATTATCAACATAAAAAATAAAAAATAAATAGATAATAAATAGGTAATGATATTATTACTATTAAGGAAAATCAATATCATACATAAAATTGTGTGGTGTTGATTTTATTAAGGGTATTGACGTCATTACCTATTTTTTTTCTGTTGGTGGTATTGAAGTGAGAAATAAATGATATTTGTTTTAGCCGTGCCCTATGTATATTCCTCGTCATTACTTCTTTTTGAAAAAGTCAAGAGTGTGAAATTTTCGAATTAAAATTTAAGGAATTCGTAAAATTTAAGTACATCTCCGTAACGAAATCGATTTTTTTGTACTTAAACATCGTATCGTAAATAGCTAGCTAATATGTATTTTAATTTTGTTTCAACGGAAAATCTGACCAAAGTTGAAAACCAAAACTTTTTTAAATTCGGAGTTGGAAAATATTGTTCCAAAATCGTATGTATTTACTTATATTTTTATTGGGATCAACAAAAATTCTAATTTCCATTTTAATATAATTTTCAGTTTCCACCACTAGTTTTCATATAATCCATAAAGCCAATTTAACTTTCTATTTATTCTACAACTAATTTCCCTTTTTCAATAAATTATTTGGGTAAAGTTACGAGTCTCTTAGCAAGACCCCCTCAATATTTATTTTAAGGGAAAATGAGGGATAACCCCTTCAATACACAAAATAATAGCGTTTAGACCCATTTTAATATTAGTCATTTGTAAAGAAATTTAAAATTAATATTAGGAATTGTAAGACTCCCCTCACGTGTTTATTATCCTAGTCTTGTCCTTTCTTCTTCCACTCTTTCTCTCTCTTCCCCTCTCTCTTCTCAACCATCCTTTTCTTTCTCTCTTCTCTCCCCCTCCTTTTATATTTTTTACGTATCTTTTTTTTTCCTATTTTCTCTCGTTCACTTTCTCCCCCCCCCCCCCCTTCTCTCTTTCCTGATACATCTCTTTATGTTTCTCTTTTCTTTTCTTTCTCTCGAATCATTCTATCTCTCTCTCTCTCTCTCTCTCTCTCTCTCTCTCTCCTACTAAAATCGACTTGTATATCTTCTCTACCAAAATTGACGGATCCATAGCCGCCGCATCTTCATGGCTACCATTGGTTCACCCGGTCTAGTAACAAGGAAACATTCAGATCTGTTTTCGGACGAAGCAGCATCCGCCGCCGCTTTTTCTTAATGCATCCCCCATCGCTGATTTTCCAACTCAAAAATCTCCGTCGCCGGAGTCTCGCGTTATTGTCTCGAATCCTTATACTCATTTCATTGGTTCAGATCTAATTTTTCAAGCAAAATTAAGGCTAGTGATAGTTGTATTGTGGAAATTCCTATTTTAGGAAAATTGAATTTAGATGGAAGGTATTCATTCATATGCTTCAGACTATTGAGATCATTTGGGACTTTGGGCGTAATTGTGAAAGTGTTGGAATTACTTACCGATGGTTGAATAATTTAACGGTGTTGAATTTTGGTCATAAAATCATGGTACATAAATGATCATTAACTACTATAATTTAGTAGTTAACTATCACAATTTATAGCTAACTATTAAAATTTCATAGTTAATTTTCACTATTTTGTAGATGACTGACACAATTTTATAGCAAACTAGTAGAATATTATAGTTGAGATCGTTTGGGACTTTGGGCGTACTTGTGGAAGTGTTGGAATTACTTGCCGATGGTTGAATAATTTGACGGTGGTGAGCTTTGGTCATAAAATTATGGTATATAAATGATCACTGACTACTATAATTTAGTAGTTAACTATCACAATTTATAGCTTTTTTTTTTTTTGAAAAATAAAATTATATTCATGACAAGCCAAGAGAACCTATATCAGATATTACAGTATCTCGAATTGGTGAAGGTAGCTCGGTTAAAATACACAAACCTCTGAAAGAGAGTCGAGCTACTTCATGCGCGACTTGATTCCCATTTTTACGAACATGGCGAACAGAGAATGATTGAAAGGAGCTTGCTGCTCTTTGGATATCTCTCACAACTGAACCATACATGGATTTATCCTCTTTACCTCCAACTATTGCCGCTATAACAGTACTAGAATCGCCTTCGATTACTATCTTCCTCCAGCTATTCTTTGCGCAAATTCTACTGCCATGAGAGCCGCTTTGGCCTCTGCTGAATTGGAGTCAAGATATTGGTATAGACAACTCGTAGACCATCCCACCACACTACCAGTGTGACTTCTCGCAACGTAATCCAAAACCAATAATACCTTCAGGGCTATTTATGGCGGCATCAAAGTTGACTGACCCAATTTTATAGTTGACTTTCACTATTTTTATAGTTGACTGACACAATTTTACAGCAAACTAGTAGAATATTATAGTTGACTACTAAAGTCAGTAGTTAAATTTATTAATTTAGTTGTTCACTACAATTTCGCAAATCTTTCCAAACAAAAAAAAAAGGTAAAAGTAAAAAATAATCGAAATATAATAAAAAATAAAATTAAAATAATTAAAGAAGAGAGAGAGAGAGAGAGAGAGAGAGAGAGAGAGAGAGAGAGAGAGAGCGCACAAATTGGTTGATCGATCCTATATTAAAAGGGAAGGGATCTAGTTCAAAAGAAAAATGTAGGGATAGTATGGGGATATGTAAAGTGGAGGGGGTTGCACCATATTAAAAAAAATGTTTGGTACCTAGTTCTAATATTTTTGCTAATGAGAGGGTTACGCCTCATTAACCCTTATTTTAATTGAACTAAATCCACTTCATTTGAGAGAACTCCTAACTTCTCATAACCTCATTTTACCCTTAGGCCTCTTTTGTTTTGTATGAAATTATTGCCAAAAAAATGTTGATTACACAATTTTGGGATATATAGTACTATATAATTATTTGAACCTCATGTTTGGTTTTGACGAAGAAAATATGAGTGATAGTGAATTCCGTGTTTGCTTTCGTTGACTCACATGGATTGAATATTAAAGGCCAAAAATACCCTCACACTTCATTACATATTATTATTTGCTTCCCCACCTAGAAATTGCGTTCAATGTTCCCCCAAATTATCAACTAGGGTTTCGTCCATTGTTCTCACACAGTAAACACCCACTCATCCTCGCTCATGTGAAGTCATGTCTACGAGTTCTAGAAACAACAGAGGTGAACGGGACTATAATCGCAACAATTTTGGTAGA